ATCATTAAACACTTACGATCTTGGATTTCGACTGAACGCGATATACACACAATCCTTCCATGATGCAAGGTCTGTATTCTGTGGAGGCTGCGAGAGGCCGCGCTGACGGTGATGACAGCATGATTAATGCCCGCCTCCGTTCCCACTCACACACTAACTTCACACAGAGAGTCAAAGTGGGTTGAAGAAAAGCTGAAGAAAACTTCCTGCTGCGCCGACAGAAAATAGACTGTGTTCATCTGGAGATAAGACGCTGTTTGATGAGATACAGTTTGACATCAGCATGAAGATTCAGTTTACTTTTCTACAGAGGCTTGGCTAACTTCAAGGCTGTTTCTGTGATGATCAATGCTTTACAAAACCTGCTTTATAGGCCTATAATGTATACTTATAAAGTGGTTTAATGAGCTTTTCCAGACATTCCTCTCAATCAGCTTATTTACTACTACATTTTATGTTCTATACCATACCTTTAAAGGGGACCTATTATGCAAAATGCACTTTTTCATGTCTTTTATACATAAACATGTGTCCCCTCTGTGGAAAGAGATTCTGAAAGTTTCAGGAAAAAATATTCGATTTTGGCCACCTTGTGATGTCATAACGTTTTTTTGGCTTGTGTGACCATTAGCCAATCATCAGCCAAGGTAACCTCCCCCCCCCACATTATCTCCTGAATCTCCTCCTAGAGCACCATTGTGTTCTTCTTAACAAAATCTCTCTCAGAGGGGCGTGGGGAGTGGCTATTTTCATCTAAAGTAACAGACGGAGAATCAGCACTTTTGAAACAGGGCTGAAACAGAGGGGATTATGGGTAATGCTGCAATGATCTGTTTGGTGTTTGGAGCCAAACACTTCAGAGACATGTTTTATATATATCTGAGACCTATAATATATTGATGAAAAACGGTATAATAGGGGACCTTTAATGATTGATTCCTGAGCTTCAAGTGGTTCCTGTTTTTAGTTTTGTGTTGAAATCGGTTGCAGATTTGTGAAATGTCCTGATTGTCATTTCATTTTTGACTTTTTTTAGCATCGTCTTTCATAGTTTGTCTGAGGGACATGCAGACATCAGAGGTGAAAAATGTATCCTGTGCAAAATCACATAAGACAAGCAAAAACAGGAGAATGAATGTAAAAAAGTTCTTATATTCTTAATGACTATACCTCTAACTCAATTCAATATGTAATACAATAGGTGGCAGAATAACCGCCCCCCCCCCCTTCAGAAAAGTTGGTATTTGTGCAAAACATTGATTTTATTATGATGTGATTCTGCAGACTTTTAAACAAACATATCATCCTAACTGTGCTGCAGATATCTTGCCCTGACTTGCATCCAAACTTTTCTTTGAGCTTTAATTAGTTAAAATAGGCCCAGACATGCAACGTGCGTCACCGAAAATAAATGTACTTTGTGGCTGATTCATCCTTCGACATTTAAATAAAATCACTGAAGAGATGCATTGATTTGAACTCCTTCTGAAACCACCTTTGTTCCCCTCACCACCTTCATTAATCTTCCATGCAGTCTATAAAGGAGCCTGTGTGGAGACTGAAGAGGTTGGTACATCAGAGTAAAAGGAAACTGGGGTTGGCACGACGGTTCGATGCCAGCCTCTGCCAATACAAGCTATCAGGCCACATAGTCCAAACCCTTGACAAACTGCTGCAGACTGCCAGAGCATCTCCTCACTGCCAAGGCTTATGGCAAACCTGAGCATCCCTTAATGGTTACCAAAGATTAAAAAGGCACGTCTGTGTTTTTCTTTCTCCATTTATACATTTTATGTGATCATGATATATGAAAACCTATAAAAAATGTGTCAGCAACACACCTTATAGACCCATCCAAAGTTCACAAATGAAAAATGTTTTTATCATCGGAAATGGGTTTTCCCCCATGCTTTACAACATATCGTTAATTATGTTACAATGTGAGCATTTTGTCCTGGATATTTTTACATTATCTGTTCATAATATATGTCACATGTTAAAGACCCTTCATTTGTAATTCATTGAAATGTCCTCCCCTGGCATTGAAGTATAAGAAATTAAACTTGTATTGCTCTGTACAAATACACCCATTCTAATGTATGATATAGTTGCCTTATTTAATGTATCACTCATAGGGACATTTCAATCTCAACAATCACAGTGAGGCCTCTGATTGATTTCTGTTTTTCATGTCGTGCAGCTCACACAAAGAGTTTGTCAAAGCAAGTCAAGCAGTATGGCTTCCCTTGCTGCTCCTTGAAGATGCCTTGGCTGAGCTGCCGCAGACAGAAGGCGCACACAAAGTGCTCGGGGTGGAACTTGCGCTCCAGAGCGGAGATGCAGCGGCCCGTGATGGGCTCCCCGCAGCTCCCGCACAGCGTGCCCTGTCGGGAGTGGAAGTGCTGCGAGCAGAGGGGGCGGCCGCCCAGCTCCATGAAGCAGCCGTCAGTGAAGGGCTTCAGACAGTCCTGGGTACAAGAGCAGAGGAGAGACGTTAGGAAGAGATGTGGAGGAGAAAGAGAGACAGATTTTTTATTATAGTGTAAAATCTGGATAATTAACCCGTTAAAACGTCTCCCATGGACTCCTTTATTTACTTCAGGCACATAATGACATCACTATGTAAATCTAACGCTTCTATTGGCCAGCGCTTCAACACATTGTAGGTGATAGGCTAAGGGGTTGGACATCTCTAAGCGGTTGACCAATCACCACAGAGCCGGCCAGATAACCAATCAGAGCAGACTGGGCTCTGGTTTCAGACAGAGGGTGAAAAGAGGTGCTGCAGCTCAGGCAGTATGAGAAAAATAAAGAGCTTTTTGAACATTAAAGCAGGTAAACATGTCACAGTAGAGACACTACATTAAAATATAATCCTGAAAATTAGCATTATAGGGCCCCTAAAAAGGCAAGCACGGTGAGTGGAATGCTAAATGACCTTAGATTTGTTCTCAACGGCTGCAGATATAGCATTCCCAAGCTAGCCTGCTAAACATAAATTGAGAAAATCGAAGAACAAGGATGTCATTAAAATAATGATAATGTTATTTTTATAGCTTTGTGCGTTCACGGGCTGCTTCTTGGCCACAGGTATGATGAATAACTGCGTTTTCCTTGGTTGGCTAATAAGGGAAGCTTTGAATGTAATTCATTTTGATTAGACCCTGCTCACAATTGTACAATCATGCAATTATAATGTCACTCCTACACACGTGAAGTTAATCTTCATGTGATGGATTAACTCCATCATAAGTGTCTGTCAGTCCTCTGTCATTTTTACAGTCTGGTGAAATGAATGAAAAACAAATGAAGATACTTCTGATCCTAATCTATACGGCATGCTTTGTAAAATGGTCATCAGTAATGTAAAGTACAGCTTCATGCTCTGCAAAATCACTGACATGCATCTTCAATAAGTAATGAAGAGAAATTAAAACAGTGTTACAGATGTTTCTGTTCATAATCCATCAATGCTTACAGATATAATACTAGCAAGTTAATGTTTAGCAGGTTACATTTATCCACGTAAATGTGTAAATATATAAAATTGTGATCATTACCACTCAACACACTTTACATCTGAGGCCGAAAGGAACATTATGAGTATTTAATGCAACAGCCATGCATCTAAAGAGGCTAAAAACTGTTATATGATTTAATGTGGCTGGTGTGTCTCCAGCTCATCCATTAGAGTCGTGGAAGGTACAACTTGTCTGGTCATTATTTACCCTTACTTACAACATAAACTAAACGTGTCTACAGGGGGGATGATGCCTATGGTTTCTCTTGGCGGATAGTTTGACATGTCATAGCAGTAAAAGCACAGGTGTAACTCTTCACATTAGCCTTGGCTATGTTCTATTTACACCTGAAAGCAAGCCATGAGAGAGAGCCAGAATGCACAACACCAGCTCTGGCACAGAAACGCCTGAATTAATCATTAATGACTTTAGTAACACCTGTTTTTAACAAATCCAAGCGCAAATCCAATGTGAGAAATGTCAGTGTTTCTATAGCTGGGTGCAGGTACAACTGAAGACATGTTTGATCATTTTAGAAAATGTTTATACATTTGAATAGAGTTGTTTGTCTCATATAACACACAACCTCTCTGATGTGCATAACACTGCCTGTAAATATAGAACTTTGTGAAATACACACTCGTGCAATATACCCTCGTTCAATTTACACTTTATTTTAGTTTTTGTAAACATTACCAGCTACTTCAATATTTTATATGGTCAATCTAAAAAAGAAAAAAATACTGCTACCTTTTTTTTTTACCATGGTGTTTTTTATCTGTAATTTTGTTTTACTAATTGTGTTTTTATAATTAATAACGCGTGCCTACTTTTCTTTATGTAATATGTAAGTCCACCCGCATATACTGTTGCTGTTTTAATGCATTTATCATTTTATTCTGATCATTATAAATGGAGTTTGGATGACAATATCAATGCAGTCTGCAAAAAAAGCTTATCGACGAGCACGAAGAAATGGGGCGAAGCCTGCGAGCTAGTTCAGGCAGTCAACTCGAGCACCAATGATACATTACCACGTGAGGCACCTCGTCCCTCTCACAACCAACCAAACACATTCTCCTAAACATGCCGCTCTATTGAAGCTGCCAGGTCTTCCTGCCTCTGCCTCGCTCTGCTGCTGCTGCTGTATTAACTTGCTATTGCTGCGTTCATGTCCCTGCTGCTGTGTTTCACGTTGCTGCTGCTCGCCTGCCCCACCACCACCCCAGCTCCACCCCAGCTTNNNNAACTACTTTGAATTTATTTGTAATTACTGGAATGTGGTTGGATTGTTTTCCGAGACGCAAGGGAACCCTAACATGTATTTATCCCATGCATCAAGAAAACCCATAACATTCATCTGTTTGCAACTTATACATATCAATACTCCAATCACTTGTATATAGACTATTCTGCACTATTTCTATTCTATTCTATTTGATTTGATTTGCTTGCACTCTTTTATTGTGTTGCACTGTTGGAGGAGCCTGTGACCTAAGATCGTCATGACTACAGTGTAGCTATAAATGAGAAGCAAAGCCTTGAATCTTGAACTGTGCAGGCGATACTTTAAAGATGCTTCTTTTGGCTCACCCTCTCGTGCAGAAACACCAGCGCCTGCAGGAGGTCGTAGATGCCGGCGCAGACCTCCTCCGGCGACAGGCTGTCCAGCAGCAGCTCCAGCGGCTGCACCCGCTCCGTCACCAGGTGGATGCCCCCCCCGTCCTGCACCGAGCACGACAGGAAGCGCAGCAGACACGGGTGCCTCAAGGTCTTCAAGTGCTGCAGGAAATGAAAAGTATTTAGTTTCTTCCTGTAAAAAGTGAGAGTCATGCAGCTGAAGGGAAAATCCAAGAGTAGGAAGTGATTAGGCCGCCTGAGAGCACAAACCACTACTTAGCAATTAAAATAAGAACGACTGCAGTGCTGGCAAATGATTCATTTGGTGACAATTGTTTCATGGAAAATGTCTGTCCTGATAATGCAAGTTTCTCCTGAGTGAACAGAATGTTGGCAATGACTTTAGCAATCAGGTTTGAAATCAGCTATATCCAAATCCTGGTTACGTTCGCAGGCGGCTGCTAGATCTGCTTCACTCACCAGTCCAATAAACAATGATAATCTTTGTAGTGGATGGTAGATTGCAATAGTGTAAGATGCACAAGTCCAATTATTCAATGTTTTCCTGTGAGACCTGCACTTGAAAACAGCAAGGTGGTAGAAGTTCTGAACCATACTTTGATGTTTCGTTTTTGCATCTTTACCTAAGATGTTGTCGAAATGTTATGTTATTTTTTTAATAAATAAGTGACATAAAGGAAGATCTTGGGTAGATAATGAACTGAAATCCCTTAGCTGAAATGTAATCAGGTTTGAAATTAAACACTACTACAATGCTTGCTTACAAGGTATTTAGTCAATTTAGATGTATTGTAAATCTTAAAATGATATTGTGGCCGTGCGCTGGGCACTAATTACCAACAAAAATAACTAGGGATGCTCCGATCGCCAATTTTGGGGCCGATCGATCGCCAGAATCAGTATCGGCCAATACCGATCGCCGATCCGATCGAGTGGGCGGGGCCTATGAGGATCTTCCATTTAAAGTGATGTTTAAAACTCAGTTAATGGGGCTCATTCACTGGCGCTTCCACAAACAACAACCAACATAATTATTACATTCAAATGAAGTACATTATTCAAGTTTACATTAACTTTGGATAATAACACGGGAGAAATGAAGTGCTCTCTCTCTCTCTCTCTCTCCCTCCTGACAGCCTGTCAGTATCTCATGCAGCTCGCTGATCCAGTAATGAGTGACCCGACAGTGAAGAATAAATATATGTATAACTAGTTTAGCTAGTTCCAGAGGTAGATCAAATAGCTAAGTGTGTTAGGTCTAACTCTTAGTGTGTGTTGCTCACCTGTCCGTCACAGCGGGTGGAGCTGCAGGATTTCTGCTTCACACGTTGCATACCGCTATTTTACTGTCTTTTTCGGACACCTTAAAATACTGCCAGACTGGTGAAGCCATTTTGGCGAGCTTGTTTTGCCGCGCACAGAGAAAAGTGTCACGTATTTTACGTCATCATTTTACGTCATGCGATCGGCATTTTTAGAGAGCACCGATCGATCGGCAGAGAGTGAGTATCGGCGGCCGATCGATCGGTGCATCCCTAAAAATAACTATATTAAAGTACTTGCAATCTACTTATTATCTTTCTTAATGTACTTTATTTAATTTCATATTACATTACATGTTAGACGCTTTTATCCAAAGCGAATTACATACTCAATACTGTGGACAATCCCCACAGGAGCAATTTGACACAACGACATGCTGACTGCAGTGGGGTTTGAACCTGTGACCATCTGATCCCCCATACCAAGGCTCTATCCACTGCGCCACACGCCTCATATTCTGTTATTGTACATATCATATTCTATTTACATGTATATAGACTTCTTGCAGTATTTGTTATTTGGTATTTTATTATATATGTTGCATTGTTGGAGGAGCTCAGGTCAGAAGAATTTCATTGCCATTTCTACACTGTAGCTTATGTGCATATGACAATCAAACCTTTGCATCTTGATTCTACTCTTAGCATACTGTTGTAGTGCAGCCCCAGCAGTGTGACGGCGTACCAGGATGAGGCTCCAGGATAACTACCTTTGCCACTTTGTTGACTTTGTCCTCATTGCCACGCTTGTAAACAAACACGGAAGCAGGCTTCCCATCCTGGAGCATGGCAGAGTACATGGTGAGTCCGGAGGGGAGGGTCAGCAGCGGCTCCTCCAGGACGCAGCCCCGCGCCGCGCTGCTCTCCGCACCCATCGCCAGACCTGGAGGGCAGAGGGGGGGGGCAGAGGGACGTTAAACACTCAAGAGGTGGAAGAAGTACTCAGATCATATACTTGAGTAAAAGTAGAACTACCAGAGTGTAGGAATACTCTGTTACAGGTAAAAGCTCTGTATTCAAAGGGTTACTTGTTTTTCATCAATATATAACAGATCATTGCAGCATTACCCATAATCCCCTCTGTTTCAGACCTGTTTCCAAAGTGCTGATTCTCTGTCTGTTACTTTAGATGAAAATAAGGAGCCCCTCCCCACGCCCCTCTGAGAGATATTTGGTGCTCTAGGTAGGAGGAGATTCAGCTGATAAGCCAGAAAATCGTTATAAAGGGGCAAAAATCTGATCATGTCATTTTCAGGCAGGTTTTTTTTTATATAAATGGATCAGGACAAAAAGTGAGCAAATCTTTTTTCCTGAAACTTTCAGAATCTCTTTCCACAGAGGGGACACATGTTGATACAAAAGGTGGATTTGGCACAATAGGTGACCATTAAGTAAAAGTAGAACAGTATCAGCATCAAAATATCTTTAAAGAACCAAAAGTAAAAGTTCTCATTATGCAGATTGGCACATTTCAGAATAATATATATGATGTGTTTTATAATTATTGATCATCAAAATGTTATCAAAGCTGGCAAAGGTGCAGCTAGTTTCAATGACTCTGTATACTGCAGGGTAGCTTGTGGATTTACTCCAGGTAACTAAAGTCTTATTAAGTGTTGATTATATTTCCTTTAATTCATCAAAATCTATGTACATAATGTACCTCTGAATTGTAGTAGGGTAGAAGTACACATAAGCAAATTTGACTTTAATAGTAAATGTCCTTAGTTACTTCACACCACTGCTCCAGCCCAACGCCACATGTGACACTACAAGGTTGTAAGTCGTTAAACATTGCAAATATAAATGCTTATTATAAAGTGACCTCACCTGGTTGCTGTTTATCTGTATGTTCCTCTGTAGGTAGGAGAAAAAGAGTTAGCTAATGTTGTCAGTTGACTAGCTGGCTAACCTCAGAGCTACGTTAGCCAGCTCGTCATCGCTATGCGTGTCTGTAACCCTTCCGCCTGCAAACAATCATGCTAATGGAGGCTTAGCGCACAATTAAGCCAGCGATTTGACAAAATTATCGAACTGTTCGCAAGGAAAAACGCAAAAAACGTTGCTGTTTTACTTCTGGACGAACCAACGGTGCTAACGTGGAGAGAAGCTGTAAACACGGACTCTTCCGGTATAGGAGGAAACCATGGAGCAGGGGACGAGGTGACTTTAAAATATTTTAGAAACTAGTCACTAAGGCGTATTTGGAAACATATGTTCGGTATATGAAAGACTGATATCACTAAGGATTTCAATATCATAATAGCCAGTTTAATTCTACCTTTTAAAATAAAAACAGAACTGTACCAAATCCCCCTCCGCTAAAAGCTAATGGTTGCAACCAAAGTGGTGTGAGATACGCGTGGATAGTGACTGAAATGGAAATAGTCAGAATAAATCTCAAAGATGAGTCTGTGGTCTGTTTTGGGAACTTGTTGTTGGGGTCACCACCAGTATCACACAATCAGGGAGTTCATTATGAATACTGGAATACAAACAAGCTATGTGGAATGACAAGTCAGTTTATTTATGTAGCAGATTAAAACTAGGCCAAATGGGTTAGAATCTGCCTTAAGAAAATACACAATTACACAAATAAAGGGCAACGTAGAGACAAAAACAATATGAGGTATGAACAAATATGAAGTTACAGGTGTCAATTCTTCCATGGAGCCATGAACTTCATGATGTGATTAGAGGGGACCTTTTATTAAATTATTATTCTGCTTTAAGTATGATTTATAATTTTTTGTAGTGGTAAATGGGGTTGAGCTACATTTATTGTTAAATGGTTATTTGTATAGCCAGATCCTATAATGAAAGACTTTAAGTTACATTATAATATAAGCTATTAAAGCTACCGGAAATGTTAAAATCTCATACACATAAAGTTGTTGAACAAATTGTATAATAAATACTTAATTAATATCAGTTGAATAATAGAATATGCACTGTACTGAGAAAGCACCATATATTGTATTTCTACTTTTTGTCTATTTTTATGTTACTATATTTTTACTTTATTGCATTTTGTTTTTATTCTAGGTTCATGTAACAACTTTTAAATGCCTTTGTGTTAAAACAAATAATATATATATACAGATACCTTTCATTACTTACTTAGTGGAGATCATGTCCCCATATGTTTATGTACATACGGTCATACACATTAATATAAATATTATACAAAAAACATAATCAATGAATGTAATGGTTGAATAAGACTTAAACACGTAAAAAAAAATCTCAATTTCAGAAATGTTTCTTGATTTCCTCTTTTCAAGGAAACGGCAACATCTGATACTGATCAAGATAGGTCTCACTTCAGTAACACACAAAATACATTTTAGTCAGAGGAAGTGATGGTTTTTACCAGATGAGATTCTGAGACAGTTACCGTAGTAACTAACCAGCAGCACAAATACACACACGTTCACTCTGAAGAAGTGAGAGCAGCAGACGACATGGACGAGCTCGGTAAGGAACTGTCATTCATCTTTAACGCAACTGATCATCCACAAAATTATCCGAACACAGATTATTAGATATACATACATTAGTATCATTCTAAAACATTGAGTGCTATGATTTACAACTGTATAAAGGAGAAGGGAAATAAATAATTGAACATACAATAAGATGAAAGTGCTTAACAGGATGTGTTCTGGGGCTACCAAGAACAAAGTACACAATATACTGTACTTTATAAAAGTAGTCCAGATTGTCATTTGAATAACTCTGTGTCTTGGTTCTGTTTTTCACAATGGTTTGTAATAACCATCGTGATATTTATTGTTAAATGTTTAAATATACACATTGGTCTTGCAACATAATCTGCATCTTACTTTAAACGATTTTTCTTCTTGCACTACTTTGATTTAATAGTTGTATTGTTTTATGTAACTATGTTGCAATGTTGGAGGAGCTTGGGTATTACAATTTGTATTGCCATTTCTACACTGTAGCTACTGTGCATATGACAATAAAGCCTTTGAATCTTGAAATATGATGCTATTTCTTGCCAGGACTATCTCAAAAAGAGTGTTATTGAGAGATAACGTTTAAACAACTAAATCAAGGAAAACAGTGGGCTTTACTGATTATCAAAACACACACGTTTTGAAAAGTCTTTCATCTGAAAATAGATTTGACGATGTGCATATTTTGTGGAGACACAGGTGGAAGAAATGTTAAAGACAATTGTACTAAAAGATTAACATTAATACCTTTTTTTAAACTGCTGTGTTGTGTACTTCGCCACACATATCTTCTCACTTTTACTTTAATGTGTGGGTTAACACTGTGTGAAGGAGAGTTGATTTGGGGTTATATTTTTCTACCAGCGTATTGCAACATAATCAAGGTTTCACTTCTGCAACACTTTGTGCATCACTTCCTGAGGAAGCTGACTTGCATGAAGCAACCGCAAGAATATCCACCAGCACCTTTATCTGTACATCAATAAGCGGTTCTTTCTTCACAGGAAATATTTCACCCCAGACTAATTATTCACGTCGTTTTAGTTAGTAGTTAACTAGAAAGCTCAATTCATGTGTTTTAGTGGGTGAATACCGTTAAAGTATTCTTAAGGATGCTATGAATTTATGTTTGGAATATTTATGGCCTGTATCGTGCCACAGATTTGCTGTTGGAGGAGCTGGCTCTGAACCCAGGGGGTCTGCAGAGTGTCAGTGAGAACAGGAGCAAAGACACAGCTGCTGCAGAGGTGAAGAAAAAACCACACCAATACAAACTACACTGTATAATAACTATAATTATCACCTTTCTTGGTTGTAGTCAAACCTGTCATTTAATCTCAATCAACTGTACTCTATGATCATTTGTAATATTGGTACTTTAATCACAGATTTACGGTGTCTTTTGGTTGTTTGTCCACAGGTGCCAGCTGCAGTTGATTCAGCATCAACCAAAAAAGGAAAAGTCTGCTCAAATGTTTACAGGTGAAGCGAAGGCTTGTGCAAACTCTGAATAGGAAACAGGAAATTACTGAAAGGTGTTATAATTACAAGGTCTCTTTTCGACTTGTCTAAAGCCTCTTAACATGTACACAGTTATCTGTCTACTTTAAACTAAATTTGAATGCAACAAATCTTTTCAACCACAATCTTTGACATATCTCACGCCAGACAGTTTACAAATGGCCTCAGATTTCCCATGTGAAAACCTCAACATTGCTTTTGTGTGGAAATTCATTATGTGAATATCATTTGTTGCCCTTAAATCCAACTTAAAATTAATGTAAAATATCACCCCACAATTAGTTTACAAAACAGTTTTCCCTCAAAAGGATTTTGTACATTAATCATGGGGTATATGGTGTTCTTTCAGGTACATTTAATAAATAATCTTATTTGCTCCTATGTGGGCTTCAGTGACCTGCCTGTTCCTGTGGCTGCTTCCTCGACCCCCGACTCCCCCACTAAAGAACTGGATGCTATCCTGCAGGACATGCTGGGTCTGGGACAAGAGGTCAGTGCAGCGTCTGCAAAAAGCATATCTCAGAATGAGTTAAATGTGTCATCATTCATCTTTTTTTGGCACATTAAAGGTCACCTATTATGCAAAATCCACTTTGTCATATATTTCATACATAAACATGTGTCCCCTCTGTGGAAAGAGATTCTGAAAGTTTCAGGAAAAAAGATTCTCTCTCTTTTTGTCCTGATCCATTTATATAAAAACCTGTCTGAAAATGAGCTGATCAGATTTTGGCCACTTTATGATGTCATAACGAGTTTTTTGTCTTGTGTAACCATTAGCCATTCAGCAAACAAGGTAACCCCCCCCCACACACACACACACACGCACACACACCTTATCACCTGAATCTCCTCCTAGAGAACCATTGTGTTCTTTTTAACCAAATATCTCTCAGAGGGGCGTGGGGAGGGGCTCCTTATTTTCATCTAAAGTAACAGACAGAGAATCAGACCTATAATATATTGATAAAAAAAAGTATAATAGGGGACCTTTAAATAATAATTCAAGCAACCGTTTCTTCTATATTCCATATAACATGCTGAAACATGAGTGAAGTGAACCAGTTCTAACAACAGATGGCAGCATTGTACCAATCTCAGCACTGCCTTAAGTAATAGAAATGTAATATAGGAGTGTTGATAACTTTATACAGTCTATGGTTGATAAGCAATAACTTCAAAACAATACATGTATCAAATGCTAGACATAATAGATGTGTGTGCTAATTTGTATCATCTTTCAGGATCCAGAGTCTTCAACGACCCCACCACCTCTGACACAAAAACTGTCCGTGAGAAAGAAAACGGAATCTGGGCAGCAGGAGAAGAAGAAGAAGAAGGAGAGCAGCAGCAGCAGAGCAGCGTCAGACGCTAACGCTTCGACCTCCAGCAGGAAGACAGACACAATAGATGAGCTGCTCGGAGGGCTGAGCTCCGACCTGGAGAAGATCGGCGTGCGCACCGTAGCCAAGGGCCACTGTGCGTCCTGCAACAAGAACATTGTTGGAAAGGTACAATTATAAGCATTGAAATCTATGTATTGTTAATTAAAATAGGCCCCATTCTGCTTTTTGGTATTTTCCCTTTCCAGTAGTAAGGTAAGGTAAGATACGTTTATTTATATAGCACATTTTCCGACACAGAGGCAATTCAAAGTGAAGATCATTAAGAAGACAAAAGAAAGGAACACAATACATAAAAATAATGGAATAACAGATTCATAAAAAACATGCATAAAACAGATACATAATAGATTGAAAACAAGTGTGTTCTTTGGGTTGTGTGCTTGTAAATCCCCCCCCCCAAAAAAAAAAATCCATTGAGCTAACCAATCAGATCAGTCTGGGCTCTGGTTTCAGACAGAGGGTGAGAATATGTCCTGCAGTATGAGAAAAATAAAGACCTTTTTGAACATTAAAGCATGTAAACGTGTTACAGTAGAGGCACAACATACACATAACAATTAACATTATAGGGCTGCTTTAACATAAAGGGTGCAGTCATCCTTATACATGCAAATTCTTGATAGTAATTAATTTAAAAAAACCGTATTTGCTTGTGTTCCTTCATTTTATTTACCTTGTGTAGATGATCACGGCGCTGGGTGAAGTGTGGCACCCTGAGCACTTTGTGTGTGTGGCGTGTAACACAGAGCTCAGCACCACAAGCTTCTTTGAGAGGGAGGGGCAGCCATACTGCGACAAAGATTACCATCAGCTGTTCTCCCCACGCTGCGCCTACTGCAAGGGGCCCATTGTGAAGGTGAGGAAGCTTCATATCCAGTTTTTGTTGACCATGACATTTGATTGGATTTGATTAGATTTATTTCGAATGTGTAAAACAATAATACAAAAATGTAACATGAGAATTAGTATACAATACAAAATTAAGCAGTGTCAAATTGATATACAAACCTTTTACTCATTCTAAATGATGTATAAACAAATTATCTACTTAATTACACATCCGAAAAGGGGTGGGAAGAAGTTTTAATCACTTATAATTATTAAACACTTATTTAATCCCACCCCTTCTCCCAAAAACTAAATTATTAACATATACCGTATATATTTCTTTTTTTCTTAAAGAAATACATTGGTTATTGAAAAACAAACATACATAAAACAACAAACAAATAAACATTGCAAAAGTGTTTTTTTAAGATATTCAGAACATATTCAATTTAATGCCTTTGTTTTCTGATTCTTATTTGTGCTGTCGTACTAAATCAATTTATTATCTCTATATGATTGGGTGATGACATACAATAGCATGTTGTTAATTTTCCTAGACAAATCCCACTTGTCAGCTAAATAACGAAAACATAAAACCATATTGGGATTCAGCCTTCGGGCTTAAGCTGCAGTCTAAAGTCATTCATCAGAAACTAATGCAACTTCTCCAATAATTTGCTTCGTGTGGTGCAGAATCCACTTTGTTGTGTTCCCCTCACATCCGATCGTATGAGACTTACAAATCCTTAAAGGAAGTAAAGCTGTAATATTTCTCCATCTGTCTGCTTCTCCAGAACATCCTGACAGCTCTGGACCAGACTTGGCACCCCGACCACTTCTTCTGCACACACTGCGGAGGCCTGTTTGGACCCGACGGTGAGACGTTCATTTCTTTCCCACTGGAAACCACGACTTCAGCAAACATTTGGAAATCATTTCAGGCATGTTCGCTCAGAATGAATCTCATGTGCCTCGTACCTGTCGCTAGGTTTCCTAGAAAAGGACGGGAAGCCGTATTGTTGCAAGGACTTCTACAACCTCTTCGCTCCAAAGTGCTCCGGCTGTGGGGAATCAGTGAGGGAAAACTACCTGACTGCAGCCAATGGCACCTGGCATCCAGAGTGCTTCGTCTGCGCAGTGAGCCTCCTACCTCAGACCACACACACACACACACACACACACACACACACACACACACACACACACACACACACACACACACACACACACACACACACACACACACACACACACACACGCCTGGGAATAAATGAGAAAGATACCCACACAGTTGCTTTATTTGCAACATTTTGACCACAAGGCTGATGCAAACCGTATGCCTGATGAATACGTTGCGGTTGAAATGATGCAAATAAATCAAGGAAACCATATTCCTTTGTGTGGGTATCTCTTACATTCTCCTCAAACCTACTTCTGTGTGCAGCATCTGGTGGAAAACGGTTCAGCTTGCAGCTTTGAGCAATTGTTGAACATAGAATGCTCTCAGCAGAGACGATCTGACATGAGGTAGCAACTCTTTATGTTTTATGACCCCTAAAGAAGATCATTCAATGACTGAAAATACAATGACCGTAAACCTGAACATGAAATGTATTGCTCTTAAAGCTTACCAATCAGAATGACATAAATACAACTCAGATTAACGACATTACATTCAGACATAGACATCCAACGATGACTACCATACCCAATTATTACTGTGTCTCACCAGCAGCACAGAAACTANATTCAAGTGTTACCATTTAGTGCAATAGTAGCTACAGAACATGTACTGTGGAAAAGTTTGTGTGTCTGAAACGCTATGTGATACAGTACAGTTTACACAGCACAGTACATGTTCTGTAGCTACTATTGCACTAAATGGTAACACTTGAATACGTTATGCAAATATGCAACTTGTTTGTTGAAATGTTAATAAATGGGAGCTTCCTCAAACAGCCCTCTCTTTCCCGACAATCCCCTCTGTGCACGAACCCTTACATATGGTAATTAAACATTAAAACACCTGCGGCTTATAGTCCAGTGCGGCTTATATATGTACACATCATTCAATTTAGCTGCTGCGGCTTATATTCAGGTGCGCCTTATAGTCCGAAAATTACGGTAATTGGAATATTGATATGTATAAGTTTCAAACAGATGAATGTTATGGGTTTTCTTGATGCATGGGATAAATACATGTTAGGGTTCCCTTGCGTCTCGGAAAACAATCCAACCACATTCCAGTAATTACAAATAAATTCAAAGTAGTTCCAAAGTAGTTTTTCTCGACCCGCAGGGCAAGTCGAGCCACAACAACGTCTGCATTTCATCTGTGTTCGTCAGTGAGGACGGTCACTGGACACTGGGCATGATGGAGACTGTCTGCAAGTTCTCTGAAGCAACACCTGAGGTAAGACACCGAATAAAGAGACAGAGTTTATCCAAGATGCCTCTGTTGTGTGTGTATATATATATATATATATATATATTTGTTTTGCTTCACCAAGGTCAGATTTGTGAGTGACTATCATTTGAATTTGTTTTCTTCTTCTCAGTTTCTCTCAAGCATTCAGAATGTGAGAGAGGCCAGCTGGGTTCCTCCAGAAGAAAAGGTATGCGATTTAAACTATATGGATCTAAAAATGGAAGAACCGTCCATTTTTGTTTTGTTTACAAGTTCTCATGAAGCATGTTGTCTCCAGGTTGAGGGCTTCAAAATGATGCCGGATAAAAACGCTCACTCTCGAGACTGTTACTCTTTTGGAATGATGTTGGAGACCCTCGTCTCTCTCCTGAATGGCTATGGTGAGCAGAGAGAGAAGGTCATAATGTAGCTTGTTGCCCCTTTAGCTCAGTATGCTCTAACAACAGGTTAACCCTTCTCTTTCCTCGCTTGTTCCAGTGTCCCAGGAGCTGTCTGACAGTCTGAAGCAGACCCTGCAGGTGGGCCTGCTGAACTCTGACCCCTTGTCTCGACCCCCACTCAGCTCCCTGCTGACTCATGACTTTTTCAGGTTAGTGTGGTTATGTTTGCTTTTGCTTTCCCTTCACTACCTACTCAGAAATAATTGTTCTCAAACACATTTTCTTCTCTGAATAGGAATGACTTCCTGGACGTGAGGAACTTCCTGAAGAGCCTGACCTTGAAGACGGAAGAGGAGAAGAACGAGTTCTTTAAGTGAGGATCTGGTGTTGGTTTCCACACATCCTTTTCAGTGTGCTATTTGGTCATGAGTGCTTTGTGTTCATGCAGACAGAGTACCAGTATCTCATTTAGTTTTCCAAGCCAGCCCACTCAACTTTGTGTCTTCTAGTTAGTTATATATTGGTCAATTGGATATGGTAGGTTAATACAATTGGAAAGTTAAAATACTGTTTCTTATACGTCCCCTCAATTCAATAATGTATCATTTAAACTATGCTCTTTTGACCCGAGGAAACCTTTAACATGCTCACTGTGTGTTGTTTCCTCAGGTTTCTTCTCGACCGGGTCCAGAGTCTGTCTGAGGAGCTGATAGCTACGCGTCTTGTCCCCAAACTCCTCAACTCTCTAGTTTTTGCTGAACCCATGGCGGTCAAAAGCTTCCTGCCTCATCTGCTAAAGCCAAAGAAGGGTAAGATGGGCTTTTAACGAAACACTTTCTGCTACTGCTAACAATACTTTAGTTCCCTACCAAGGAGAAAGAATCATTCTGTCAGGCAAAATGACGCATGTGCTAATGCTCTTTCTACGTTTCCTCTGTGCCACAGACTCCAGTGGCGGCGGTGGTCACGATGATGAATGCCTGCTCTCTGTGCCCCTGTACCGTAAACATGTGGTTCCTCAGCTGCTCAAGCTCTTCAAGGTCAACGAGGAACACGTCCGGATCGTGTTGCTGGCTCACATCCACATCTACGCCGAGTTCTTCTGCCAAGATGAGCTCAAAACCCACATCCTACCTCAGGTACAGAGCTGACATGGAACCACAATCTTTAACCTTGATATCAGTGAGCAGCACTGAGCTACATTTAAAGGAACCATTTGACACTTTGGGAAATGCTTGTGTGCTTTTTTTGTAATACCACTCTCGTGTGTTAGCATTACTTCAGAGTTGAACTAGGAAGAGCTTAGCTTAGCATACAAACTGAAGCAGGTGGAAACGGCAAGCCTGGGCTGTTTTTAAATTAAGTGTTAAACTATTACTTCAATAATTACTAGGGCCGGGACTCGATTAAAAAAATTTATCTAATTAATTACAGACTTTGTAATTAATTAATCGCATTTTTAATCACATATAAATATTTGACCTGAGAACAGTGAGAAGCAATTTTTTTCACATGGATTTTAGTATACCATTGAATAATGACTGAATACATAAGCTTAAGCAACAAAACATTGTTTATTTTTATCAAGGAGGTTCTTAACCAAGACCAACAGAAAAGTGCAATTTTTGCCATAAAGTGTAGCAATAGCATATTTAGGANTGAGCAGCACTGAGCTACATTTAAAGGAATCATTTGACACTTTGGGAAATGCTTGTGTGCTTTTTTTGTAATACCTACTCGTGTGTTAGCATTACTTCAGAGTTGAACTAAGAAGAGCTTAGCTTAGCATACAAACTGAAGCAGGTGGAAACAGCAAGCCTGGGCTGTTTTAAATTAAGTGTTCAACTATTACTCCAATAATTACATATAGGTTAAGATGTTTAAGAAAAGACTAAGAATGTCAGCAGGTTTTACATTTGAGGTTGCACAAAAATCTCATTTTGCAATCCTCTCATAGTTTAACTTTTGTGTTGCTTGTTGCAGGTTTTGTTAGGAATGAGGGACACCAATGACTCGCTGGTTGCCATGACGCTGCAGAGTCTGGCGGTGTTGGTGCCGTTGCTCGGAGCTCAAGTGGTGGTCGGCGGAGAGAGGACGAAGGTCTTTAAACGCACCACACCCAACTTCACCAGGTCCACAGAGGTCACCCCTGAGAGTGAGTCAATCTGTTTTAGTAGAGAGCATATGACTGGATACATGAGATTTGGATTATACTTCTTAGGTTGTGTTGAAGTTGTTTAAGGGATGTTCTGATATAGTTTGACTTTATTTCATCAAGAATCAGCTCAGTTAGTGTGTTCACAGAAATATTTCTTCAAGAATTCAAGTCAACAATGTGAGAGTAACACGTACACAATGATCATTTTATGGTTTAAGTGTTCCTTTAAGAACAGTTTGCCGTATCAAACAACAACACCATATTAGGTTTGTGAGAGAAAGCACGTTTATACATAATGAAACAATTTGTGAGGCCTTTTTTGAGTCGGATGGGAGATTTGTGTTCATTTGAGCTGAAGCTTATATAAATTCAAATACAAATATTTAATGAATTGTAAAACCATCAGTTAACCAGTACAGAGAGAGTCCAACTGAAATACTTGTTTGACTACAGGAGAAACTCGTGCAGGAGTTCTTTAGAAAGGTGTCGCTGCTTTTGTCCGTCACACACTGAAGGAACAGGTTTTTCTGGAATGAACCAGTCTGGATTTGTATAATCAAATATCACTGGTGCAATAAACATTTGCTTAACATTTAATCTTCCTCTCCCTGTATTCCTCAGCCTCTCCTGTCCATATATTCGGAGGCTTCCACCCTCAGCTGGCCCAGCCTTCAAAAGTCTTGAATCTGTTCCCCAGACCAACAGGGACTGAAGGCCCGGTGCTCGGGCACATCGGTAACTTAAAGGCTTGTGTGGAGACTCCAAGAAGTTACCCTCTGCCTCCCAAATCAGGTAAATGAATACATTAAGAGGACATATTATACTCATTCCCGGTTCTTATTTGTATTTTGTGTGTCTAATGTGACATGTTTCTATGCTATTTAAAGGGAACCTATCATACAAAATGCAATTTTTGATTTATTTTATACATAAATATGTGTCCCCGGTGTGTCAGGGAACTCACGAAATGTCAGAAAACAATATCTTCCCTCTTTTACTCCGTACCCAAATCTCTAAAAACAGGGGTACAACGGAACTGATCCAGATTTGCGTCCGATATGACGTAATATCTGAAATGTGGACCCACGGCCCTATGAGAAACGTTGCTATCAGAAACAATGCCCGACTGTTTTGGACGTAATATGGTCTTTGTTTACATTAGCATCGCTAACACTCTCCTTTAACTCCTCAGGTGACTTTCTTTTATTTGAAGATTGTTTTTTGCCCGGCGCTTGGCCGGTTACCGCTGGTATTAAAAACATTTTTGGCGAATGGTTAGGTGGCGCGATAGTCTGTAGTTATACTGGAGAGGGCATGTGGAAATAAAAAAAGGAACTCACCTTGTGGTATAACCGGCAAGAGAAAAAGCATTTGAGCTCCAAACTCTTTAAGAAATAATCCTTGATGTGGTTTGGAACATGATGGTGTTTAATCACGGCAGCATAACTGAACCTGCAGTTCTCCAACAGGCCTGAAATCGAGGGATATGAGGGGCGTCTAAAATGCATGATCTGTTTGGTATTTTGAGCAAAACACATCATAGACATGTTTTTGATATATTTTGATATATCTGAGAGACCCATAATATATGCCTAAAGATAGCATGAGAGCAGACCTTTAAATCATCCGTTCCTGTTTCTGAATCTTTTTCTCTTCGCTGTGCTCCAGACGTCAGCAGACAGATGTCTCTACCTTTGAACGGCTTTCATCAGGAAGCCGAGGTGGAGTCCTTCAGCCCGGAGAAGGCTGTCAGACTGAGAGAAGGTCCAGTGGAGGACTGGCCCAACTGGAGCGACCCTGAGGAGAGTGAGGGCAGGGGGGGGCAGTCGGTCCAGATCCACATCCAAGCCTCTGAGAGAGAGGATCCCGTCAGCAGCAGACTGCCGCTCTCAGCCGCGGAGCAGGAGCCGTGGGATGACTTTGAGGACACTGAAGCCACCTCAGATCTGTCTCCCACAGCTCCTTTATCAGTCACCCTAACACCACCCAGAGGGGCCCCTACCACAGCCGTACTACACTCTCCTGAAACACTGATTGTGGCTCAATCCAAACCCTTCAAACTGACCGCAGCCCAGCGACCATCCACACAGAGCAAGACCTCCTTGGACGAAGGCTGGGCTCAAGAGGAGACAGACTTGGAGTTATCACACCGACCGAAGCATCGAGCGCCAAAGAAGAGCCGTGGGGGGGGGGGTCTGGGGGAGGAGTTCACCATTAAAGTGAAGAAAAAGGAGCAGCCTGACCCGGAGCTGGACCTGTTTGCAGACATGGTGCCGGACATCCAGCTGTCCTCTGCTGCCTCTCCAGAAATCACCTCATTTCTGCAGGACTCAATCATCGACACGGTCACACTCACTGCCAAGTTCGCTGTTGCCGACCTGACGGAGGTGAGTGTGTGTGATGTTTGTTGTTGTTGTTGATTGTATCAGGTTTCTAAAGAATGACATACAAAAGGCTGAAAGGCTGTTTTTTTTTTACTAAAACATGTTTTTTATATTTTTTTTATATATCTGAGACCTCTGCTATTGGTTAAAAATAGCATGATAGGTGACTTTTAAAAACCACACCATAAACACAGGGTTAGGAAAACGTATGTATATGTTGCACATTAGAGTATACAGGTCTGTATACTGTGTTTTAATTTGTTTAGTTGCTGGCCCTTAGTTAATTAAAAATACAATTCATAAGTGTTATGTTATTAGACTACACTTTGTTACTGTGTTTTAAAAGGTGCTTTGTACAAACGTTTTGCAACCCATATTTGTGGAACTAGACTGAAGGCAGCTTGATGTGTAAAAAAGGTGAACAGTAATGACATAGAAACAAATGCAGCGAACCATGAACTGATAATGGAATATACAATGGTGTACTCTGCTCTGTGTCCTGGTAGTGATTGCATAGCCAATGAAGCATTAGAGCTTTCCTGTCATTTACCTGCCTTTCAATGATTGTTCTCCTTTTTCTCTCTCAGACGGAAGCAGAAGGCTGGGGAGACGGAGAGGACGACGATGACCTGAACTGGGAGGAGAGCGTCTGGTGAGGACGCTTCCTGTCGTCTGGAGCAAAGACTTGACCACTTTAAAACTCTAATCTTGAAAGCTGCTCCAGTTCTGTTTGAACAGCATGATGCAGTCACGGCTGAGACTCTTTTATGGCCCATCCTGTTTTTGGTCCTGGACGTTTATCATCAGTCTGTTCATTCAGATAACCATTTGAACTGGAAGCTCATCACACTGAGCTGGACTTTTGAAGCCATCTTTTTATTGTTTGAGTTAAAAGAGGATCTGAATCAGAGGTCTTTTTTTTTTTTGGACCACTTTTTCTTTAGTGCCAACTTCTTTACTGGCATGAAAATCAAAATATACTTTTTGGCAAACAGTACTCGGCCAAAATGTGCCCGGTTTGATTTACAAAAGGCTTGCACTTTGAATGAATGTGGAACAGAAATTACGTAATTTATTAGCTCTTTGGTGAAGTAAAGATTTTACTGTATCATATGACCCTGTTCTGTTTTCTAAGACTTTGTATAGATGTATCATTAAGTAGGAATATTATAAGTAGTCAGACAACATGGGTATTCAATAGACTCCTGTTTGACTAAGTGCTAAATAAATACAAGTGAACAATTATCTGTAATCAAACCAGTTTAATCAAAAAAACAACCGGTTTAAAAGCTGAGACTTCACAGCAGCAGAGAAAGGGGTTCACAGACTGTGTTTAAATAGTTTTTCTATATATGAAGTAAATACATCTGGGGCTAGCTTGTGTGTGTGGCTGTTCTGATGTGTGTGAGGACGGTCTGGAGCTCCTGCAGTCTGGACTCCAGCCAGGGTGGAGGTGCTGGAGGAGAGGTGCGTTCTGTGAGAGCCTGCAGAGCTTTCAGAGCGCTCTCAGCGGTGGTGACGTAGCGGCTGAACTCCTCCTCTGCACAAAACTCCTGCCGAGCTCTCTTTGGACATGGCTGAGAGAGAGGAGGAACGACATGCATCCATTTATGAATCTAATTCTCACAACATGATTTAGTTTGACATGAATCGAGGCAGGATCGCTTGTACAGATGAAATGGTGACTTGCTGAGCAGGACGTTATGTAATAATCTGAGAAGTATTTTGCTAAATAAAAATACTATTTTACTTGTGTTATTCTAAGGAACGTTTGTACTGAGCTACGAGGACTACCGTCATTTTCGTACTATAAGCCGCAGGTGTTTTAATGTTTAATTACCATATGTAAGGGTTCGTGCACAGAGGGGATTGTCGGGAAAGAGATGGCTGTTTGAGGAAGCTCCCATTTATTAACATTTCAACAAACAAGTTGCATAACGTATTCAAGTGTTACCATTTAGTGCAATAGTAGCTACAGAACATGTACCACATAGCGTTTCAGACACACAAACTTTTCAACTTTCAAACTTAAACGGTGCGCTCCCAGTGCACGTACCGGCAGTGATCTACAGCAGTGGTTTTCAACCAGTGGTACGGGGACAAACTGTCTCGCTCTCGTAATGTCTGTCTGTCTTGCTCTCGTTCTGTCTCTCGTACCACTCTTGGTTCCACTTTTACTTTTGCGCGCTACCTGTCTCACTCTTTTCCGGCCTCCAGCTTTTCCTGCTGGAGCCCGCCGCTTAAAGGTGGGGGGCGCGGACCGGCCATAGAGC